TGACTTTCAGAGAAAGGAAGTCTGCTGTTCTTTATTCCTTAGTGTAATGTGTATTTTTTTCCCTAGTTGTTTTTAAGATTTTTTCTCTTTACTGGTTTTCAGCATGTTGATTATGGTAATGCGCCTCGGTATGTTTACAGTTTTATGTTTACAGTTCTCAGGGTTTGTTGAGTGTCCCTAAATCTGTCAGTTTATATGTTTGATCAAATTTTGGAGGTTTTTTTTTTCCTATAGGTCACACGCGCTTGTTAGAAAGACAGAGAGACAGAAAGCGAGAAGTCACCCCCTAGGAGGGATGACCACACCACAATCCCTTCTCCTCCATTCTCCTCTCAGGATCTTGGGCACGCATGCACATGCGCCTGGCATGAGTTTAAGCCACTGGGTCTGGGGCTTGAACCACAGTTGACTACCTGGGAGTCCAGTGACATAGCCATTACGCTAACTGCTGGTCCCAGGTTTCATCAAATTTTGGAAATCCTGGACCATTTTTGTTGTTTACAATTTTTTTTCTATCCCCCTACACAGTTTTTGAAACTCTAGTTATCTTTCATCATGCTTAATAAGTCAGTGATTGTGGTACCAGACGATGGCGTAAGGGTTATGTCACTGGACTCCTACGTAGTTGACCAAGTCCCGGACCTGGTGGCTTCAAACTCACACTGGTCATATGTGCGTGCATGTCCCCAGATCCCAAGAGAATGGAGGAAAAGGGATTGTGGTATGGCCATCCTCCCTGGGGGGAGATTTCTCACTTTCTGTCTCTCTATCACTCTCTCTGGTGAGCACATGCGCCCTATAGCAAAAACCTCTCTTTAAAAAAGAAAAATAAATGAGGGACCAGCAGTTAGCGTAATGGCTGTGTCGCTGGACTCCCATGTAGTGGACCGTGGTGCGAGTCCTGGACCCAGTGGCTTAAATTCATGCAGGGTGCGTGTGCGTGCGTGCCCAAGATCGTGAGAGGAAAATGGAGGAGAAGGATTGCGGTGTGGCCATCCCCCTGGGGCATGATTTCTCGCTTTCTGTCTCTCTGTCTCTTTCTGTCTTTCTGGTGTGTGTACGTGCCTTATAGCAAAAACCTCTCAAAAAGAAATAAAGGGAAAAAAGTCAATGATTTAGCATAAAGGAGGTGGCTACTGTTTGGGCAAGGAAGGATAATGGAAGGGTGATCTAAGCTTTTTCAAGGAGAGAGGCCCTTGAAGTGATGCTTGAAGAGTACCAATTTAACTGATAGAAGAGAGGGTAGATTTGAGAAAAGATTTGAGAATGACAGATCAGGACTTGGTAATTCATTAGACAAGAATGATAGTCTGTGAGGATTGAGAGAAAGCAATTTCCAAACTAACGTACTGTCTGGGATGGGTTTCCTGGTTTTAACTAAGAGAATAGAGAGGAGATTACTTAGGGAAAAAGTTTAATTCAACTTTCGAACATACTAATTTTGGAGTAATTGGGACACTTAGTTGGAAGTGTCTAATAGAAAATTGGAGATAAGAAACTGAAACTCAGGTACTGAAACTGAAGATATTTAATTAAAGATAAGATATAATTAGGGTGTTGTTTCCATATTTAAAACCAGAGTTAGAGGTAACATATCCATGGAAAACTAAATACAGTAAGGCCCAAAGAGGACAAGGATAAGTTAGGAAATAGTATTTGAATAATAATTTAAATAATAGTATTTGAATAATAATAGAATTTAGAGGAGACTAACAAGTGTTTCTTAACCATTAATTACATGCAGTGCTTGTTAAAATACAGATTTCTGGGTTCTGGGTAGACCTACTGAATCTCTATCCTCTTGGTGTATGTACAGTAGAAATACGCTGATTTACCTGTATGCTGGGAGAACCAGTGCAGTAGTAGGAGGGTCAAGATGGGACTGTGTTGATAAAAGACTATAAAGGCATGGCAAAGACTCCTTGATGTGGTTAATCTACTCTGGCTATTACAAAAAAAAAAAAAAAAGGTTAAATGATAGATGATGTTGGCTCAAATGTGTCTTAGGCCAGAAGAGGGTAGGGAAACCTCTTTTTTTCCTGAAATGAAAGAATTCATGTGCATCCAGAAAAATGTAAAACACACATAATTTTACCCTGATAAAACAAATAATCTAGATCCATATAGTTTAAGTCTTCTTTGTATTGCATGTATAAATACATACATGTAGTTATATAAGTTTCACACAATGATATAAATGTGAACATTCTGGAACCTGCCTTATTTTGCTTAATAATGTATTACCATCCCATATTGTAGGTAGATCACATTTAAAAAAAATTCCCACTTGTGGGTGACTACTGTCCTCCGTTTAGTGTATCTCATTGAAGATGTTTCCTAGGTATGTACAAACACGTGTGTGTCAGAGTTGTATGTGTATATACATTTTTCTTTTAAATTGCTTGTAAGAGCATATTTACACTATTCTGCAACTTGTTCTTATAGTATCCATTATTCTCATTCTTTCCATTAGTGGGGTAATAATCATGTGACTATGTTATAACTTATTTGGATTAGTGAACTTCTAGGTTATTTTTTTAATTTCAGTGAATATTCTTTCACATATATTTGTGAATTTTTGGCAAGTATATATGTAGGATAAATTGTAAGAAGTGAATTTTTGGCTTAAAGGGTTATGTATTTATTCAGAGCTAGTTTGAATAAATGAAATGATTTATCTTTTGCTTTAGCATATAACCGTTAGATATAAACCTTGATTTGAGGAGCCAGCACTTGGCATGGTGGTTAAGGTGCTGGACTCCCACATGACCAACCACAGTTCAAGTCCTGGACCTGGCGGCTTGCTTTCTCACTTTCCCTCTGTCTCTGTCTCTCTTTGGTGAATTAAAATAATAATAAATAAAATGAGATCTTTTAAAAAAATACCTTGATTTGACAGTGTTGTTTTTCTTAGTCATTTTGGTCCACAGATTAATAAAATTTTCTTTTGTCTATGTTTTATAGTTTCTAAGTGCCAACCCCCTAATTATTTTCCATTGATTCTTACAATAAACTTGCCTGGTAAGTAGCATATAATATACATTTGAGGAGACAGAGCCGGAGATAGTACAATTTTTCCAGAGGAAAGAAAGTTAATAACAGGCAGAACAGGGACAAGAATGGTCATCTTCTGAGTTCTGGTGTATTGTTCTTTTCTTGTGCTGTTGGGAACTCCCTGACCCTTTCTTAGACATATATGAAAAAAATGATACAAAGCCAGGATTCCGGTGGTTTTATTTCCTAAAAATCACAATGCCTCCTCATTTCTTCTCAGTACTGCTTCAGTTTTAGTAATTAATCATATTTTATTGTTGTAGGGACCTCTAGGACTTACCTTCATTCAGAATACCATCTGTCTAAAAATTAAAATATAAAAATCTCTAAGGGGGTGTGTGTGCATTTTCACATTTCATTTTATCGCTGTACTGAAAGAATTTGAAATGAGAACTTCAGTAAAATTTAGTTCTTCTGAAGTTCTGATGGGGGGGCTAGATTGAAGATGTTTTTGCATATTAATTTCCTTATAGTATACGTTTATGTTAACCAAAGGTTTTGGAAACCTCAACTAGGTAATTGCTTTTTTTTAAATTTTAGGCTTTTGCCATAGAGTACGTGTTCTTACTAGGGAGAAACGGGGGAAGGGAAAATGAGAAATCAGCCCCCGGTAGGGATGGCCATACCACAATTCCTTCTTCATTCTTCTCTTGGGATTTTGGAGACACACACACACACCATGATTTTCAAGCTGCTAGATCTGGGACTTGAACCATGCTTGGCCATGTGGGAGCCCAGCACTTTAACTACCATGCCACTTACTGACCCATCAACTAGGCAGTTCTTGGTAAGACCATTTGATTTACTGAAAATTCTTGAAACTAATTAAGCAGTTCTTAAATCTTTATTGATTCTAATTTTTCATTATTTAGAATTTCCTCTCCTAGTTCTGTCCTTTAAAAAAACTTCCTCTGGAAGGCTGTGCACCTGAGAGACCATATCTTTCTTGCTTCCCCTGTATTCATCTAGCAAAGCAGATTTTAAATGAATGGACAGGGACTGTGATCAAATGTAGATACTGAATGGCTAATATCCAGAGTTGATTTAAATTCTCAAAGGTGTTCTATTAAGCATTGTTAAAAGTTAAGAATTAAGAGTTTTTCCTGAGGTGTATGTGTGTGTGTTAAGTACTGTTAATCATTTAACTTGGATGCTTTCTGAACTCTAGTCCTTTGTATGCTCTTCAGTTTCTTATATAAGAGATGTGTCTTTTGTTCATCTATCTAACTTGGGATATTTACAGATACCATATTTTCATTTGTGTGTTATCCAATCTTTCTGCCCAAGAAATAAGAATGTCTGGATATTTACTGTTGCTGTAGAGATTGGAGTAACTTTTGGGAGTGAGAAAAGCTGGGATTCTTTTTATGATTTTCTAAGACTTAAAAAGGTATTTCAGGGACCAGCAGCTAGCGTAATGGGTATGTCACTGGACTCCCCCGTATAATTGACCACGGTTTGAGTCCCAGATCTGATGGCTTAAAATTCACGCCAGACATGTGTGCCCAAGATCCTGAGAGGAGAATGGAGGAGAAGGGATTGCTGTGTGGCAGTCCCCCTGGGGGGTGATTTCTTGCTTTCTGTCTCTGTCTGGCGAGCGCACGTACCCTATAGCAAAAAAAAAAAAAGAAAAAGAAAAAAAGAAGGTTTTTCAAATATTATTGAGGCTTTTCAATAAAAAGCAGTGATATTGAATAGATAAGGGTAAGTTATACCTTGGAATCTAAAAATAAGATTTTTGTAATATGTTTCTTGTTAAGGTACTAATATGTATGTTTTTCAAATATTCCTTTTGGATTGCTAAGTAAAACTTTAGGGCTCAGAATTATTTTTGTTTTTTATTTTTCTTTAAATGACTTGAGTCTAAAGAAATTATTTTAGCAAATAATTTTTGCCTGAATCACTAAGATAATAAATAGGTTGTTTTCTTTTGATGTTTTTATTAGGTGTTTTGAGAGTTAACTCTTCACTGGTAACATACGACAGTAATATAGTTATGGCAACTTTCCAGCCTTTCAGAAACAGCCACATGAAGACTAGAGCATCTGTCAAAAAAGTAAGTTTACTTAGGTTCTGTTAAGTGACGGTTTTAATAAAACTATTCATCTTTTCTTTTGAAGCCCTGTAGATATTATGTGTTTTTTAATATATTTTATTATTTAAGATAGTGACTTTAAAATACTGCAAAGATTAGACATCTATGAAAAAAATGATACAAAGCCAGGATTCCGGTGGTTTTATTTCCTAAAAATCACAATGCCACCTCGTTTCTTCTCAACATGTAATTTTTTATCTGATTTTTAGCAGTGGAGGTCATCCATGTGTAAATTTTCTTATCTGTGGCTTTGCCATAAGCACATAAGAAATACTACAGTTCATTCCTTTTTTATTCAGCAAATGTGAATTTGAGAGCCTGTTATGCTCCCGGATCTGTGCTAGATTTTGGGTACAAAGTAGTGGGCAAATGCAATATGGCTCTTAATCCTTTCTTTCATCTACTCTGAGGAAATACCCCTTCACTCCCTCTCCTATGACTATTTGATCATCATTGACAGTTTTATCTTTGCCAAAACTTTGGCAGTATTACTGGAAGAAGGGAGAATGGAGACTGGAGGATAGTCCTTTTCCTGGACTTCAACTTCTGCCTTGTATGATACTGGTGACAAGCCCTCACATGTTAAGATGAGATGGCCTTTGAGTTCTTTGATTACAGTCATTTTGTCACCTTCCCTCTTTCTTATGACTCCTGTTTCCTTTGCTAATTTTTCAAGGCTCTCATTGTCAATGTTCTTGTGAGTTTCTGGGCCTGCTTTTTGATCTAATCTTTCATTTCTTCAGAGAACTAAGGTATGTGTGGGTTTGACTGCTAATTTTGAGAAAATGGTTACCAAGTCCATAGGATGGCTGCAGAGTTGGAAAACAGAAAGTGAAATTGCTTTTAAACAGTTTGTAATTAATGTTTTAGTATTATGCTCCCTATGTTTTCAGGTAAAGTACCGTTAATTTTTAAAAATTATTTTATTCAGTTTCATTTATTCAGTCATTCATTTATTTTAATTTGACCAGAGAGACACAGAGAGAGAGAGAGAAAGAGAGAGAGAGAAAAGTGAGAAAGCAAGTCACCAGGCCTGGGACTCGAACCATCGTCGGCCATGTGGGAGTGTCCAGTGCCTTAACCACCACACCACTTGCCAGTCCCCAAGTACCATTAAATTTAACAAATCTACTTTTTAATTTGAAAAAGGTACAATAAGAAATGTTTTCTCTGTGTTTCTACTATTTGTAAACTGTAGTATATTTATTACAGTTTTTCAGATTAGTAATTGGACTCATAACCTTTAAAGTAATGATTAAATTATACTGATGGTTTGAAATTAGTAATTATACCTAAGTAATATATAAAAATATAATAACGGACTGGTACCATGTTCTTCAAGCCTGATATACCTAACTTGAATTGCCAGTATGCTACCAGGGATTTTTTAAAGGATTAGGCAATAGCTGAAATTGTATACTATCATGTTAACATATATATTTTTTTAAACACATTATCTATATTAAACCTGCAATAAAGATTCAATTTGAATTTACTTGAATCCTTGAAAATTTTTTCAGATAAAAGTATGTGAATCCAAATATTGGATACTGTTTATGTGAATTTATGCACATACATGTACCATCTTCCATGTCTTTACTTGATATGACTAAATGACAAAACCTTACCTCTTGGCTACTGTGGAGATTGAATGTTACAGTTGAGTTTTTTAGATTTTACTATACTTTGCATAAAGATAGAGATACATTGAATACATATTGGAAATAAATTTGTGAAAATCAGAAAAAGCTATAATTTATCCCAGTAATATTTTGACAACATTTTATTATAAAAATTTTCAAACATACAGAAAAGTTAAAAGCATAGCACACCTACATATGAATGTGCATACCTACTACCCATATTCAGCTGTCATTAGTATTTTGTCTTGTTTGCTTTGTGTGTGTTCTTTATTTTTTGGCAGAACCGAAATTACAATCATAATGTCTCTTCATCCCTGAACACTTCAGCATGCTTCTCCCAGGGATAATAACATCCTCCTACATAACAACAGTAGCATTATCACACCAAGAGAAAGAAATAGAATTCCCATATATCTAATACCCAGCCATACTAAGATTTCCTTTATTATCTCTAAAATGTCTTTTATAGTTTACTCCCTCACATACATTCTCCTGTATCTTTGTTGCATTTCTCAGTTAGGACTCGTTAACCTTTGATTTTGTCTGAAAGAATGTTTACTTTTTATTTATTTTGTTTATTCAAGGCTGACTTTTTGAATAAGCCAGACCAGTTTTCTGTCTAGTATCCCATATCTGAATTATCTTGTTTTCTCACGATGCTTTTTAGTTTGCTCATTTCTTTCCTATATTTCATATAAAGTACAAGTTAGGCTTAAGGGCTCAAATGGATTATGTTAAACATTTTTGGTGTGGTTTGAGTCCTGGACGTGGAGGATTGGAACTCATGCCAGGCCATGCATGTGTGCCCAGAATCTTCAGAAGAGAATGGAAGAGAAGGGATTGCAGCATGGCCATCCTCCTTGGGTGGTGACTTCTCACTTTTTCTCTCTCCATCTCTCCCTGTCTCTCAGTGAACGCACATGCCGTACAGCAAAAATCTCTATAAAATTTTTTTTTTCTTTTGGTGAGAATACTTTATGGGGTGATGTGAGGACAGAATTTTAGGTTTTTCTTCTATCAGTGATGTTAAAATTGGTAAATTGCTTAAAATAGACACTCTTGGCTAAGTGGGTAACTCTGCCAGAGATACTGTAAAAGTGCATGTTATGTTTTTCCCTTGGCAAATAATTTTTGAGATGATGATTGTGTGCATGATTGTGTTTTGTGTGCATGCTTTCTGTTTTTTAAAGAATATTTTATCTATTGTTTTTGGTATCCCTTGGTGATGCTTTCCTGAATCAGTTATTCCTTGGGAGGTACAAAATAGTGATTTTCCTAATTCTGCCCTTTTACTCTTTTATCTTTATTAGCTTTTTTTTGTTTGTTTGTTTTTAGGTTTTTTAGTTTTTAGTTTTGCTTGTGCTCACTGAAGAGAGACAGAGGGAGAAGGAAAGTGAGAAAGCACCTCCTAGGGAGAATGGCCCTGTCCCAATCTTTTCTCCTTCATTCTCCTCACGTTTTGGGCATGGACACACACAGGTCTAGTTTGTTTTTCAACTCACCCAGTCCAGGGCTCACAGCTGGTCATATGGCATCCAGCCATCTTAACCTCCATGCCACTTGATGGCCCATCTTCTTTTTTCTTTAAGTTTATTTATTTACTTATTCAGAGAGTGAGAGAAAAAGTACCCCCAGCAGAGTCTTGAGGGTCTCGATTCTGTAATCCACTTCGATCTTCAGTCAGCTCTGCATCATCGACACATGTGTTCTTGGCATACTCATGGAGGTCTCCAGACTTGAGCCAGGAACCTTTCCATGTGCCATTGCCTCACAGAACATTGTGTTTACCACTGTGTTACAATCTGACTCCAAGCTGGTATTCTTCTTAAAGAAAGGCTTTTTCCTCATTGATCTTAGAGTAAGTATAATATCTTCTATAAAAGCAGGGTAATTGCATTTTAGTGACTAGTTTTCAGATTAATGACTTAATGTGTTAGCTACCTCCAGTAGTGGCAGCTGAGTTTACTTCTCATTCGTTCATTTATTTACTTGTATTGCTTTGGACTCATGGATTTTCACAAGTCTCTATTTTACAGTCTTTTATTTATTTACATTAATTTATTCATCTATTCATTTATTTATTTTGAGTTACTCATTTGTCCCAGAACTGGTACCTGGGTGTCTCTCCAGGCTAGTCCTTTTGTTTTAGGTGCATAATTGTTTGCTTCCTTCCATTCTGGTTATACCCTGTTGGTAGAGGGGACCCAGTTTCACGTACTTTCCATTCCTCAGATCTGGAATTGGCAGGTTTTCAAAGAATGCTATTTAGAAGCCAAGGTCTGGGTACTAGGAGTGCCCTTTGCTTTTATGGTGTCATGAGTTTATATAGTTAGTTCAAGTTCAGATATCACATTGCATATTTTTTCCTTTTTTGATTCCATGATTGTAATTTAATGTGAAAGTCTGCATTCATTAATAAAAACAAATTATTTCAAATATAGGGTGTTTTCAGGAGCATAGGAAAATTAGGGGGAAAATCTAGTACAGTAAATACCACTTAGTTCACCCTCTGTTGACATTTTGCCATTCTCATTCTCTTTCTACACACACACATGCACATACACATTCTGAACACTGCCATCATACAATCGTACATACATCATTTTACTTAAGGTTTTGACTTGGAGTGTGTACACTTGCTGGAGAGAGACAAAGACAGAGAGAGGGAAAGTGAGAAATCACCCACTGTGGGGGGTGGGGGGAGATAAGAGTATGTCAGCCTTATTACTACCTCTAAGAAAACCATTAATTCAGTACATCCTCTAGCGTACAGTCTGTTCGTAGATGTCCTCATTATCTTTAATATCCTTAGAACTTTTTCTTTGCTTTTTGTCTAGGATCCAGTCAAAGTTCACACCCTGCATTTGAGTGTTGGGTCTATTTGGTCTCCTCTAGGTTAGACCATCCCAATGATCTAGACTCTTTTCTCATGACAGGAAGTCTTTGGAAGAGCCTGTCCCAGTTGTTGTGTAGAACACCCCATATCCTGGGTCGTTTGGTGATTAGATTCAGTAGAAACCTCACAAAGGTGATGCTGTGTTCATTCTATTCTTTATGATCAAGAGGTGCAAATTGCTGCCAGATTTGAACAGGTTTTAAGAGTCTAACTGCTAGGTTTCTCCAACATAATTGCATATTGTACTTGTGTAACTAACATGGTTAATAAATAACCTGTAAGGTGACACTTAGAAACAGTGTGAGTATGCTGTACCCATTAGATTTAGAATGCATTGATGATCTTTTCCTACATCAGTTATTACTTTGGGAGTTACAAATGGGAGTTTCCAGTTTCTTCACTCTTTCCATATTATCAACCAGAATTCTTGGAAAAGAACATTTCAGTTTTAATATACTTATAGATTAAAAAAAATAGTGGTTATAATCTATTACTATTTTTATTCTTTTTGATGCCACAGTTATCCCAGGTTTGGCCAGTGGGAAGTCCTTCAAGCTGGCTTTTATGTTCTTTTGAAATACCCACTTAGTCTTTGAGTATTTCAATGCATTTTGGTTCAGTTAGACATTCCAGGTTCATTTTATACATTCTGTGCCCCAGACCTGGGATCAGGGACTTCTCTGAGGAACTCTAGCTCTTTTTACTGGCAGTTAGTATGAAGAAACCAAATAGTGAATGGGAAAAGGTAGAACATATATTTAAAGAATTATAAGTTCTTCATGATAGGTCAGATTCGATTTAACATTACATCTTTTTTTCTTAAATTCTTTGCTTTCATATTTGTATTTCTTGGACCAAAGATTTTTTTTTTTTTGAGAGTTTTTTTTTTTTTGCCATAGGGTGTGTGTGCTTGCCGGATAGACAGAGAGACAGAGAGACAGAAAGCAAGAAATCACCCCCCAGGGGGGATGGCCACGCTGAAATCCCTTCTCTTTCATTCTCCTCTTGGGATCTTGGGCACGCATGCACACACGCCCGGCGTGAGTTTTAAGCCACCAGGTCCAGGACTTGAACCGTGGTAGACTACATGGGAGTCCAGCGACATAGCCATTATGCCAACTGCTGGTCCCATAGACCAAAGATTTCTATTAATTTATTAAAATTAGCAACTTTGGGTCAGCCTATGGCATGACGGTTAATAGCTCCCACATGACCGTGTAGTTCAAGTCCTAGACCTAGGGCTTGAAAGACATGCTGGGTGTGTTTGTGTGTGTGTGTGTGTTGTTTCTAAAATCCTGAAAGGATGGAGGATGAAAGAAAATGGACTGCATCATCACCACTCCCCATTGGGGATGCTTTCTTGGCCCCCTCCTCCCAGGAGTGAATGTGCCGTCTGGCCAAAAAATAAATAAATAAATTAGTAGCTGTTTCTCGAGTTCTAAGAATCTCTACTGAAATCTGGGGAAACAAGGTGAGTGAAATATAATCTCTTACCTCTTCAATTTGGTTTAATGGTAGGAAAGACATGTATGAGTATAGTAATTATAATATGTTTGATATAGATTAAGTGTTCTCAGTATGCAAACTATACAGCAGGAACTTAGATTTGTTATGACTAAGATAGTAAAAATCTTCGCAAGTCTTAGGATGGGTAGGATTTTTATAGAGGAAGACTGGGAAGTAAGGACTTTCTGATAGAAGAGCAGATCAGCAAGTTGGAAACTATAAAGTACAAGGAAATTAATGATCTATTTGATGTCTGACTGTAAGTTTTGTTATCTTCCCTCTTTTACTTTGCACTCTCCCTCTTCCCCAAATCTGGAATCCTTTCCCTCATTATCATTTTATAGCTGCCTTAGTAGTCCTGTAAAGCCTTATTTTGTGTTACTGTCTCTTTTTTCTTTTGCGTCTGACTTGTAGGTAGCGATAGCTATTGTTACTATGCCTGATTATAGCTTCCATATCGTCTCACTTATAAATTGTTGCTTCTGTTCTTTTTTTTTTTTTTTTGGAGAGTTTTTTGCTATAGGTTATGTGGACTCGCCAGAAAGAAAGACAGAAAGCGAGAAATCACCCCCTGGGGGGACGACCATGCCGCAATCCCTTCTCCTCCATTCTCCTCTCGGAATCTTGGGCACGCACGTACACGTGCCCGGTGTGAGTTTAAGCCACCAGGTCTGGGACTCAAACCGCGGTTGACTACATGGCAGTCTAGCGACATAGCCATTACGCTAACTGCTGCTCCCCAGTTGTTGCTTCTGTTCTACCAGTGACTGGGATATCTGATCTGCAGTCTTACATTAGGTTTTAATGTAAGCTGAGAGTAAATGAGCCTGGTGTGAGAGCCTACATGGTCTTTTAGGGATTCAAATCCCTAGGCTCTGGTTTCTGTGTTTTGGGCATGTGGAACTCTACTTAAGCCTTTTTAGCTGACTGGAGCTGCTGTTCTTTTCAGGTCAATTGAGTTCCCCATACGTTATCAAAAGGTGCCAAGTAAATATCAATTGGAGAATGAATGACTCTCCATCTAAAACTAAAATATTTTCATAACCTTTTAACCTTGTGTTAGAATTAAACATTAAAATGTTTTTGGTTTTTTGTTTGTTTGTTTGTTTCAGAGTTTCAGTGAAGATGTGTTCCAATCTATAAAGTCATTATTACAGAGTGAGAAGGCACTGTGCAGCGTATCAGCAGAGGACTGTTTAAAGCAGGACGAAAATGCCAATTTATCTGAGGTTTGAAATAGCACTTACAAACACTTTCCTTTAAAGTACAATGTATTTTCATGCATCTTTGTGTTACCTATTTGTAAAATGTCTAATATCTCTACATGACATGGAAGTACCTGTTTTGAATACCGACTAGTTGTTGGTGACTGCTTACCAGTACTATAGTAGATGATTCCTACTATATTCAGTAATTAAAATTTTAATATTTATGGTCTCACTTTGAAACATAAAGTATATGCCTATTCCTATATTCATTTTTTGGATTTTGTTAGTTTTCTTGATTGTTAAAATTCAGTGCTCTTAATTCATAATAAAAAAGTAATGCTAACCCTTTGCTTTGATTCCTGGACCTGGGGTTTGAGAAACACATTGGATATGTGTGCGTGTGTACGTGTGCCCGAAATCCCAACAGGAGGGAGAAATGAAGAAGGGGTTGTGGTATGGCCATTCCCAGTGGGGGTTGCTTTCTCCCTCTCCTGTTTCTCTGACAAGTGCACATGCCTCCTGTAAAATTTTTTAAAAAGTGATAAATTTATCTTTGCAATTAAGATATTTATTCTACTACTTGAAGATAACAAATGTAACTAACTTACTTATTTCTTTGCTACATATGGTGTTTCCAATCATTGTTTGAATTTATTGCATAAAAAGATTTTTTTTCTGTAATGCGTAAGTCAATTTTCACGTTTATATTACCAAACGAGAGATATGACTTTAGGTCATTGCAGTTCAAAACTGATTCATATATTAAGTTGAAACTTTTTTGAAATGGTAGGTTTTTCTTTTAAAGAATTATTAATTTCATTTATTATTTTTTAATTTGACCAGACTGAAAGGGAATGCGAGAGAACAAGCTGCTAAGTTTATTACCCAAATTGTGGTCGGCAATGTGGGAATCCAGTGCCTTTACCATGCTATTTGCCAGCCCCTGAAATGATAGTTTTAATAACAATCTTGATTTTTCTTATCTTGGGGTGTATTTTTTTCTATTTCCTAAGAATTTCTCTGTTTGATGATGTTTCCTAGGAAGATGAGCATACCTTTTAGACCTGGAATGTTCTGCCATCCGAGCCTTTTCCTTCTGTGTCAGCGCACTTATTGTTGCCTTTGACTGTCATCTTCTTTGCTGTCCCTTTGTACTCTATTTTAGTAAAACCAAACTACTCTTACTCTACTCAGTTATTGAGAAGTCTCTTTTGTCCTGCCCTCTAACAGTTCTCCTTCCGTATGTCTCCAGATGCTTACGTAGTGCCTTGCAAGCCCTCATTCCTTGGTGTGGAAACTTTATCAGGGAAATATAAAACTCCCTAGCATCTTCTAAGCCCTTGTTAGCTTATTTTCTTTTGCATTCAGTCAAGTAAACTTGAAAGAATAGCAGGAATTCCTGTCCCACTTTGAGGTGTGATGTCTCCATGTGTCTTTTTGAAGGAAGGAAATTTGTTATAGAATCAATGATATTCTGTATCAATATCTAGATCAACAATATCTGTATCTATATTGGTAACAAATTATCAAGTCCCTGGGATTTGTCACACACTTTCCTTTGCATTATCTTACTAACTGTAATTGTGGGAGGAAAGTTGTATTATCTTAAGTTTTATAGATGAGACAGGCTCCTAGAGAGTAACAGTTTACCTAGGTGCCTGGAAATTAACTGTACATTTCCCATAAAGTAATAACTATAATTAGAATAAAGATCTTTGGGTAACTTAACATTCTGATTTGCTTCTAGATCATCAGAAAGATTAAAAGTATATTCTAGGTTGCTTTGTGTGTTAACTATGTCATTTTCTAATTCCTGAGAAGCAGTTACCCACATTACTCTTAAGTATTGTGTTTTTAGCCACAGTATCTGCTTTCTGGAAGTTCTGATTCTGTCTTAAAATACAAAAAAAAAAAAAAAAAAAAAAAAAAAAAATGTAAAAGATAAAATATTAAAAAAGAGTTTTTTAAAAATAAAAAGTACATTTTTTGGAGAAAAAATGCTAAAAGTATAAAAATGGAAATGATTATCATTGATTCCATAAATTAAAATAAAAAAAGGCATAAGGTTAAAAGAGTACAAAAAATAAAATAACCTATAACTCCATCATCCTGAGTTAAGTCCTGCTTAAAGTTTTATATCTTGCCTTCTGGTATTATTTTCAGTGCATGTTTTTAAAAATAGGTTGAATTGTGTAGGTACTGTATATAATTTTTCTGTAACTTTTTTTTTTAACTTAGTAATGTGACATTTTGCTTTTGGCATTAGGTATTCTTTAGTGATTTAATTTACATAAATTTCTGCAGAGTAATCATTCTGTAAGTGTATTGAGGGAAATAAATGATAGTTTCACGAGATGGCAGTGACGAAGTATCCTTGGGGGTCTACCCAGACAAGGCCTCTTTGAGGAGGTGACATTTGAGTTGAAACTTAAAGAATGTGTAGGGGCCATGTCAAGGGGGCATAACCGCCAAGCATACCCTAAAGGTTCTTGTCCTTCTCTAAAGAGAAGAACATACTTTGCCTAAAGCCACACCTTGACTGAGATTAAGAACAGACTCGGTATGTTCCAGACCCAGAAAGCAAGCCCATAAGTATGAATGAAAATGAGAGAAAGCCGAGGACACGGGCTAACCCCATTTTGTATTTTGCCCTGGAAGCATAGAAGAGTTTTAACAGGGAAATGGTATGATAGTGGAACCAGGTGGGAGGGGATTATAGTAGTATTGGTGAGAAGAGGTAGCGGTCGGGGAGGGGGTAATGGAGAGAAGTGGGTCAATTTGAAATGCTTTATGGGTACAATTGATTGTACTTGCTAGTACATTAGTAATGAGGATAAGGTTTAAGAACTGCATTTGGAGCTAAATCTCTGCTGTAGAACCTTTTCGATCATACTTGAAAAAGTTGTTCTGTCCAAGGCAGTTCCATATTTTTTCCTATTTCTCAGCTTAGTTAACAACCTGAGACAAGATTTTAAAACTCCAATTAATGGAACTTTATTCGTTTTTATTTAGGTCACATTTCTGGGTTTTAATGAAGAAACGGATGCTGCTCATATACAGGTAGGGTCAATTTATTGAACTGGGAAGGACTGACAGAAATTATTTGGAACAAATTTTGAGACCATAAAAAATCTGCCCCAGTGTCGAAATTTACATTCTTCTGGTAAATTTGCAAAGTTGAAAGGTGACATTTTGAGGGTGTTTTGGAAATTTTTACTGAGTATTCTAATTATGGAAAACAGCTTTAGGTTTAACCACAAGAGTCATTTATCTGAGAAGATTGCAGATTCAGGCTGTTTTTTCCCTCCATTCTGTGCCTAATATGGACTGTAAGACATTTTATTTTGATGGTTTTTGTAATTTGACAGGAAAAATTTATATATTTTTTAGTTACATTTAAAAGACAAACTTTGTAAGAAGTATCAGTTTTCCAGTACAAAAGTTTTAGCCTGTTTGATTTAGGCAGTTATTTGATCACAAAGGAAAGCAGCATAGTTGAGGACCGTGGTTGACGCTTGTGTAGATGGGGGGAACGTACTTTTTTCCTCCTTATCCTGCTGCTTAGAAAGTTGTGATTGCCACATGTTTCCTCTTATGTGTGAAGCATCTCCTAATAGAGGAAGAAATAGCATTATTCAGTTCTTTGTGAATACATAGTAGGTAATTATGAACAAGAACTCTGCTCTATGTCTTGATTGTGCCCTTTCTTGAAGGAAATGGTTTGGAAAGAAGGAACAAGAGGGGACATAATCATGAGAATGTGTGCCTCGACAAAAGAAATGTTCCAAAGTATTCCTCTAATTCTCTACTCAGAGTTACTGATAGAACCATATTTAAAAAGGAAACTACTCTATAAAGAGTCTAAGACTCTAAATAATTCCTTAAATGAGTAAAACATAAAAAGGACAAGTAGTGAAAACATAAGTGAATCTCTTTTCTATTAGTCTTCATAAGCTTTTTAGTAAAAATGTGTAATATAATACCTTGAAGAGAAAAGACAGAAAAATGGACTTGTATTTTACAAAATTAAAACTTAAGCTCTGAAGTAAATTTCTAGCCAAGAGTGCTGTATGAAATATTCAGAGTTAAACCTGAGGACTGTAGGTTGACATATGCTGTAAACTATTAAATGCTTAATTGTCATGGATATGTGAGGTACAATGTAAAATTTTTTTATAGCGTGATAGTAATATGTTGAAAGGCTGCAGAAATAGTATGAAATGATTTTATTATATCTTGTATTATCTTAAAAAAAGCTTATATGTGGATAAGCTGCATGTATTAACTATCAAGAGCCAGAATGTTTATTAACCAGTAGACCTATGATTTTCCCATTGTAGGAATCTTACCAAAGGTGTTATTCTACAGTGTTATTTATTATTATTTTAAATTAGGATTTAGCTGCAGTTTCTTTGGAACTTCCAGATCTTCTGAATTCACTCCACTTCTGCAGTCTAAATGAAAATGAAATTATTTGTATGAAGGATATAAACAAATCAACAGATGTAAGTGATGATACTCTAAATCAGGTAATTTTTATAGATAATATCTAATAACCTTTTAGGGCAAGTTTTAGTACATTCAATCAATAGTATTATACTTTTTTATTCTACTTTTTTTTTTTTTTTAAGATTTTGCTGTAGAGCATGTGCTTTTGCAGGAGGGATGGCAGAGGAAGGGAAGGAGGAAGGCAGGGGAGGAAAGGGACAGAGAGCAAAGAGGAGAGAAAGAGGGAGGGGCGGAGGAGGGAAGGAGGGAGAGAGATCATCTCCTAGGGTAGATGGCCATGCCGCAATCCTTGGGAGTTTGGGCATGCAGACACATGCCGCCTGATGTGTTTTCAAGCCGCCAGTTAGAGACTCAAATTGCTTTGTTGGCCATGTGGGACCTTAACCTCCACACCACCTGCTGGTCCCATAGTATTAAACTTTTAAATGCTTAGACAAATTTTCCTTTTTAAAAAATATGCTATCTTAAGGAAATAGGATTTATAAGAAATATAACTCATGAAGCTTTGATATCCCTGAAGTGATTTTGGTCATAGCTTATAAATTAGATTTCCCATCCGTGAAATTCCATAAATGGTGTAAGTCTGATTAATTTTTGTTTTCTGAAAATGGATTATTTCAAGTTTTCTTGTTTTTTTTTTAAATTTATTAATTTTCTACATTAATTCACTATACACCATCACAACACACAAATGAATTTTCCATCCAAAATACGCTGTGCATTGGCTCAATCAAGCACATCAACATACATGTTCTCAGCAAATAATTTTCCAATTCTTATGTCCTGCATACCTTGCCTTTTGTTTTGCCATCCTTGATTCCCCATCCCCCACCCTCTGCTATGTCCCATCCTCCTCCCCCTTGTCCCTGGCATCCATGGTTGCCCTCCATGCCTTTCCCCCTTCCGCCGCGCAGGGCCCGGGGGCCTGTTTTTTTTTTTTGTTTTTTTTTTAACATTGATTGATTGATTGATCTATTTGTTGTGATTTTCAGGCTGCTAGGTTCAGGACTTGAACTGCAGTCAGTCATGTGGGAGTCTAGCACCTCATCCACCATGTCACCTGCTGGCCTCAGTTTCTTGAACTTCTACTTTGACTAAGCTACAGGGATTTTTCTTTATGGTCAATTCCAAATATAAGAAATGTTTTAGAGAGTGTCCTTTGACTCATTTTCTGTTTTTTTTTTTAAATCATGTAAATAGACATTTGATGATATATTCTTTATTTATAAACAAAACTGTTGCCATTTCAGATGGATGATTAGTTTTAAAATAGTCAGTTTTTAGTTCTTTACCAAGTATGATTTTGTTGATAATGCATTTAAAACATGCTTTGCATTTTAGGAAGTAAAACATGTACACTTGACCGAGTAAGTTTAAAATTTAGATGGTTTATTCCAGGTATAAAAAACTCTTGTTCATAAACTCTATTAATAAAACTAGAACTGCTTGTTTCACTCATTTGCTTAATTAAATATTTCATTCAAACACTTAATTTGCTAGGGTGAGAGGCGATTAACTTTTTTTTTTTTTTTTTAAGACCAAAATGGGTTTATTAAGAATGTAAAATTGGGGTTAGCAAGTGGCATGGTAGTTAAGAAACTGGACTCCCACATGGCCAACCATGGTTCAAGTCCTGGACCTAGTGGCTCATTTTCCTACCCTCTCTCTCTCTCTCTCTCTCTGTCTCTCCCTGGTCAGATGTTCAATAATAATTTTTTGTTGTTGTTTTATAACTTTATTTGAAAATCAGCAATTAGTTCTCATCCACATTGACTGTTTGTAGATTTTTGAATGTGGTAACAGGTACATAGGTCGCCAGAGTGTAGAGCTTATTGGGTGAATCTTCATCTTCGTTTCGTTTTCTGGACAACCACACACGGATTCTATCTGGGACATTCCTTATTCCTTTGGCCCAGACAGCTTTGTTGAGCCTGGTATCAGTGCGCACATCTGGAGTCCTCATCTCTTTCATGGCAAATTTCCGGATTTCTTTGAGTGCCCGAGGGGCATGTTTCTTGAAGCCCATGCCATGGATGCGCTTGTGAATGTCGATGGTGTATTCCTGGGTCACCACCTCGTTGATGGCAGAACTTCTTCTTCTCGCCACCCTTCTTTGTGGGAGCCATTCTGCTAGGCCTAAGCTGCGAGTAGAGGGAGAGGGGTCACGAGTCCAAAGTTTTTAACAATAGGGAAAATAGATTCCATTCAAGGTTGGATCAAGTGTGGGTCTCGTGCAGTTCTGCAACTGTAGGTGAGTCTCCATGGAATACAGTTTCAGGAAGGCGGTTCTGGCAAGCAGAGTTGACCATCAGTTGATGCGGCACAGCA